AAAAGATCACCGTCCCGTTGGAAATGTAGCATTCGGACTTGGGTATATGATACCAACCATACATAGAAAGGAGTTTTGTAAGAGAAATTGAATAAAGATATAATTATTTTTATTTTTAATTTATCGAAGGATTTATTCCTCGCTCTTCTTCACCACGTCACGTTAACAGATAACGCACGATTTACCAATAATATAAAATTTTGATTGGAAGCTTCCAATCCGAATTGTTTTATTAGAAAATTATGCTTACAAAATCTTCCAAAGGTACTTCCAATAGTGCTTCCAATCTTCCACGGGTTTCGGGTTTAAAATAAGGATCGGGTTCAAAGACGAGTCACGAGATGGGTGGTTCGCTAGTTTATTAATTAAATGGTCCAAAATTTGATGATAATCTGCTAATGTAAGTTCAAAGTAAATTTGAACGCGGTCAAAGAAAAATTAAATTCCATTTATGCCTTTTCAAGAGATTATCCCAACAAATTTTAAATAATTTTTTTTTTATTTACGATTATTTTACGATTTATACTTGTCAAAAAGCACAGACTCGCAAATCATTAGAAAATTCAAAAATAATATTTTTTTGCTTGTTTGATTTTCGTGTTTTAAAAATTTTGTTTAAAGTATAGATTTTATTGAATACAAATGTGAAATAATAAAAGTACATCGGTTTTTCCGCTTAAGAATCTTATAAGTTCCGTTAATTCAATTAAAATATTCTTTGCGTATTGGTATTTTCAAAGGAAAGGTTCAAAAAAAATTTTTTTAAACAAAGTACTACGGCCCTACTATGAGACTGCAGCAAAAAGCTGGTACCCACAGGCTTACGAAACGTAAGCGCCCTATGCTCCTACCCTCGCACAGTACTATGCCGCTCCAGATAACACCCGACCAGCCCTACCATGAGACTGCCAGAAATCTGGGTACCCAAGGGCTTACCAAAGATAAGCATGCCACGCCCCCACCCATGCGTAACATCATGCTGCCCCATATCCAAAACAACAAAATCAAAAAAAAAAAAGCAAAGAAAGAGATATCATACCTTCTTAAATTCTTAACCAACCATGCAATAAAAAAAAAAAAATAAATAAAGATATCATACCTTCTTACGTCCTTATTCAACACGAAAAAAAAACAACAAAATCAAAAAAAAAAAGCAAATAAAGAAATGGCTTACCTCTTACCTTACCAACCCGCCCGCAAAAAAAAAAACGACAAAACAAGTAAATTAAGAGATAACATACCTTCTTACGTTCTTATCCAACACGAAAAAAAACAACAAAATCAAAAAAAAAAAGCAAATAAAGAAATGGCTTACCTCTTACCTTACCAACCCGCCCGCCAAAAAAAAACAGCAAAACAAAAAAAAAGAAGTAAATTAAGAGATAACATACCTTCTTACGTTCTTATCCAACACGAAAAAAAACAACAAAATCAAAAAAAAAAAAGCAAATAAAGAAATGGCTTACCTCTTACCTTACCAACCCGCCCGCCAAAAAAAAAAACGACAAAACAAGTAAATTAAGAGATAACGTACCTTCTTACGTTCTTATCCAACACGAAAAAAAAACAACAAAATCAAAAAAAAAAAGCAAATAAAGAAATGGCATACCTCTTACTTTAACGTATCTAACCCAAACCCGCCAAAAAAACAACATACAAAAAAGCAAATAAGTAAATAACATACCTTCTTATCTTCTCATTCTTAACCCAACTCACATATCAAAAAAAATTTTATTATTCCATAAGGTCCATATTTCTCTTCGAAAGTTCCAGTATTAAGTCTTGAGTTGATTACGTGTTAGTGATGATACCGAAACTTGCTCTATTGTATAAAGCATGACAGAGTTTCGGCAGTTACACAACATATGTCACGA